ATTTTTTACGTAGGTGTGACCCAGACGCACTTGAACGGTGATTTTAAGTCGTCGATATCGCACATAGGATAGGTACTTCCTCTTGAAATTCCAGCTTCCTAGCTTGTGCAGTTGCAGAGTTAGACAGGTATGACCAAAACAGATATACCGGCTACCTCTGACCAATATACATTTTGTATTTTCATAAACACTTAAAAACGCAATAAAAAATTGTTTATGGATTGTGTCTCAGGATTTCAGTGTATTTGTACATCGGTCTGATAAAATGAAAGAGACGAAGATAACTCGTCAAAAAGTTTTGTGAAAGCAGGTCTCATAGCGCAATCGCCTAGATATCTGTTTGCCTCTCCTCAAAAGATTGCAGTAGACTTGTTAACAGAGTTATCTTTATAGAATCAAGCTCCCCACGTGTCGTAGTTCTCACATACGGGCCGGTGAAAATTTTCAACGGAAAATTGCTAACTCGGGAAGCAGGGTTGAAATTTTGGGGATATCGTCCAAGTACAACTTAGAAACTTCAAATTCAACCCTGGATATTGTGATCCTCACGTACAAGCATTCAAAATTCTTGGCGGGAAAATTTCTCACTGAGGAGCCAAATGAATTTCAGAGAATGACTGTTAAATAGAAACTATTCATTTTTCTTTACGCAAAATTTACAATAATTTACGCTACTAAGTGTAAGAGGCAAGTATAAATCATTAATCATTACAGCAATCATTAATGCATTTAGCGACCTGCTTGTTCCAAGTATAGTGCAAAAAGCATGATCGCACCGAAAAGCCTGGTGCGTTCTTTCCCAGGGTTTGATCAGGAAACTCCAAAAATTCTTACACCGAAAATCATTGTAATTTTAAGTCCCCTTGTTATGAGACGAAAATTTTGAGATCGATTATTAGAAAGAGTGCCTTGAGGCGAAAATGGACCTCCGACAAGTCTTCGAATGCCCTGATTTCATTGTTTGATCATCCAAAATCATGGCACTTTTTCTAGCTTCGTCTCTTCTGGGCGGTCTATACAGGTACTCACGCGGAAGATATTTTTTATGGGATTAATTGGTTTGCTTTTCGGAAATGGCAGCTTCAGAATTTCTGCTTACTTGAGATCTGAAAAGTGGTACCTGTCACAGTTTTGGGAGTTGCTTCTTTTGGAGCTTTCTAGCTTGATCATTTGGAGGAGGTTCTTACAGACCGAATCCTCTTTGATGTCTTTTACTTAGAAGTGACTGAACGTGTTCGTGTTATAAACGCGATTTCCAGAATTTTCTTTATTTTGTTCTGGATTTTTTTCCTAACTTTTTTGCTGTATCAGCAATAAAATATTGTCTTTTCCGCTCATTTTTTCTAAAAATGTTCTAGTACTTTTTCTTGTTGCTGGGAAATTTCAGTTGAAAATTTCTTGCCAAACTGTTCTGCATTTGCCATAATCGCCAGAGGCCTTAACATCGTGCAATTTTTATTTCCTCCGAACAACCCCTTCCCTCTTCGTTTGTCTCTCTTTCTCGGTCCCCAGCCGTTCCGGATTAAACTACGAATAGTGTATTATATGCACTGCCACATATTGTCACATTTCAGTAGCAGCAATACGACAAACACAGGACGTGTTTACTCAGACAGGCGAGCGCCGATAGTGTAGCATTGCGCTTGATACGCGACACTTATGATAATTGGTCCTGAAAAGCGGAGCCATAAAGAAAACAATGCTTGCGCATAATGACATTACGATAATTGGAAACCAGTGGCACGGAAGAACAAATCCGGGGATCGGCATCCATCCGGGGTGTCCGTTAGCCGCCCCCGGGAGAAGAGAAGAAGGAGAGGGAATGCACTATCAGCATCCGGAGAGGCGCGCTCCGGAGGAATTGTTGTTATTGCTGCTCATATTGCTGCTGCTGCTGCTCCTGCTTCTGCTGCTCGCTTACTCTGCCGCTGTGCATGTGCGCGTGTGTGCTTCCATGTTGTTCTCATCCAGGAGCGGGGTGCCCGGCGTCATCCTCGATTGTGCCACTGCTGCTGCTGCTCCTGCTGCTGCTGCTGTTGTGGCTTTGCAACGTGGCATCCGGCTGCTGCTCCTGCCGCTACTGTTAGTTGATTTGCTATTGCTTCGCAAAAAGGACTGCTTTTGCTGCTGCTGCAGTGCCGGGGTGCAGGATGGCCGACTGCTGTTGCTGCTGCTGCGAACCAATCCTGAAATAGATGTTGCGCGTGGCGTTACTCCGCCTCCGATTCTGATTCCATTCAGCAGCGTATCCTGAATTCACTGCGCTCAGCTCTAAGTCTGGCCATTTCGGACCGTCATTATTCAGTGCAGCGAAGTACAGTGTCATTAACTGTTGCCTGCTTCCTTCCAGTGAACATGCTTCAGCATCCGGGCCCATTTGTACAGGTGCTCTCCTTTTGAAAGCGTTCTTGTCTTCCTATCATGATACAGTATCACATCTCCCTTCCAGTCTCAGCCTCATTCGTTCCCTGTGGCTTTTCATTCTTTATCCATGCTTTCATTTCGTTCGATGGCGGGCAGGCGGGCAAGTTCATGGATTAAATGCACCAGCGATACTATGCAAAAGTTTGTTTATTTTTGAAAAACGCTGATGAAAACTAGTAATTGACTGTTGGCGCGCGACAGATGTTCCTAAAAAAATTTCTTAGATTAAGCGGCAAAAGTTTGGAACGAGGGCCTAGTTTGAAGAAACCACTGCACTGCTATGCTCACAGGTGTTTAGATTTAATTCGAAGCAAGCCCTATTCCACTCATGATTTTAGTCTCCTATTCCACTTACGTGGAATTGTCGGCATGGTTTCTGCTTTATTTTTTGGGGGAAGCCGTGAAAGTGCAGCGCTGGATGTTCTGCTATAATGGTGATGAACGAGTGAAAATCCTGTCGAGAGTTGTTCCTGACAAATACTAACAGCAATAATTCCATTTTGCGGCAACTGTCAATTAGTATTTGTCATATTAGCTGCTCCTCGCGCCGTTAATAGAAGTAGCTGTTATCAGCGACAATAATTTTAGCCTCCGTTTCGCGCATGCAAAATTTAGTACCAGTCACATTGCACACGTTTCTCGTATGTCAGTAGTACGTAGCTGCATTATTGTGGCAAGGGTCAGTTCACGGATCTTGAAGAGTTGCAGAATGTGATGACTAGAGGCCGTTTTGCAGCTCACTTCTTACTTTTAAGGGAACTCTAACTTCATCTCTTGCACTCGTCAAAAGTTCACATGTGCCGTTATTTTGTTCCTCTGTGCTTGCGGTCCTTTGATGACTTTCGGCCTTTTTTTTCAATATTTTTACCATTTCATTATTTTTAGTTTCGTGCCTTCGTCTAGTGCTTTTTTTGTGATGCATGCACTGATAGGAGCAGTAGTTAAGCGAGGATTTCCTGCACCATACGAGGGTTTTCTGGAAATTTTTCTTCTTGAAATGGAGGCTGTTTCAGCATCCGGAAATACTACTTATTCATCAGTTAAGGTTGTTTAAAAAAAAATGTCTGTGTCCTAAGTGTTAAAGTACTGCTTATGACTATATAGTCGTGTGAGCTGTGTTAAAAGCAGCAGCGTTTGTTCTGGTTTGATGGTTTCGTTCGGTGTTGCGGAGTACTGATCATCTAAGATTTCATTTTTTTTTTTTTTTGTTTGCACTTTTTGTGGCTTTTTCGAGGCCCGCTCAAAATTACGCATTTCACTTCCTGTGAGGAGCGAAAGGCGGTTTCTTCCGTCCGGATGCTAGCAGTGGGCTATCGACCAGCACATGAAAACATTGGAATGAAACGATAACGTATGCCGTACCTTTGCTGAATCCAGTTTTGCTGCTGTGCTTTGCAGCAGCTTGTTTTTACTTTGCTCTGAACTTCGCATTACACAGCGTCATTGTTGTTAGTTTTTTTTTTTTTGCAAAAATTTATTTTTAGCAGTTCATTTTCAGGATTTCTTGTGTTCGCATTTCCCATTATTCCTCCAAGCATCCCAAATGACCCAAAAGTAAGTGTAAGAACCTAAGCGACGCGCCAGCCTTGCCGGCGCTATGATGGTTTTTTGCGCTAAACATGAAGCAGATCGTTAACAGTATGAATGTTTACTGCGTTACAGTTTGACATGTTGTCTGCGTTTTGGCTTTTTCTTGCATGCAGGAGAAAAAGGGCGTCGGCTGGAGCCATAGTATAGCATAATGGAGCCGCGTGAAATTTTGACTTGCAGCATACAGTAAATTTATTCAAAACTGGTCGCTCATCAAAAAATGCAAGTTTAATAAAGATGTTGAAAGAAACGAATGACAAAATTTGTTAAATGCCC